TGTATTAGCTACGTATTTCTCTATAACATTCCATTACTTTTCTTTAGTATTTTGTGATAAAGTAATAAAAGGATGCTTAGTATTTTTTTTGCAAGAACTTAAATATTTCAGTGTCTCTCTTTCAATAAATGTGTTAATATATTTACAAATGATGTTTTTTTTACAATATCTATTTTGTTGAGATATTTTTATATAGTGTACACGTACTGTCAAAACAAATGATCGGTTATGGCCTAATCTACAGTGCGACTGGTGTTTTTTTTTCTGCAAATCTCACATATAAACAGGTATTCATAGTTAGGATAAGAATGGTCTTGAACAGAAAATCAACATCCTTTACAAGTGTCCCAAGAATTTTCCAAAACAGAAATTATTATCTGGAATTGGAATAAAATCAGTGACGGTACCTACTCTGAATCCATCTTAAAAATTCAGGATGTGAACTTAGTAAATACTAAACACTACAAATAACTCGGTGTATGGATCAGTTGTAACAAATTTAGTATAAGAGATAAGAAAATTGAACATAGAATAGGCTGCGTTAAAGGTTGTTTCGCCCAATACTGAAAACTGTTACAAATATTGAACTAAAATCTGGAGTCATGTTTTAAATAGATTCGTCATCCCGAGATTTCATATTGATGACATACATGACGCCAAACTCATTCATAAATATCTAAACTGTTTGCTGTATACAACCGATTTCTAAGATCAATGGTTAAAATGGCTTTGAATGAGTGAAGCCTGTGAGTCTTTGTAAAAACCATCGTTCTTCAAACCTTGTGGTAAAGAATCACAAACAAAAAACTGTACCAAATAAAAAAATCCGCATCACTTAAGGACTACCAACAGCAGCAGCAACCAAAATGAATATTGCATGTAACTCGAAGAGAAAATAATTACATAGTCAAGATGTTGACATTCCGCACTACTTCATACAAAAAGTTAGGAAGGAAACTCCTATCAGTACTGAAAAATAGTTTTATGAGAAATATTTAATAAAATTCCAATCGACAGAAGTACTGGATGTTTGGTCAATGAATGCCAAATGTTTACTAATAAGGCAAGAGTAAATATCACCGTTACCATATTACTCCCTGCCACTCCTTGCTTCTGTTTCATTCACTGTACCCCGTGAATGTTATATTCTCCAGGCTCTTTTTCTTTATTATTCATTTCGGCTGTCTCTTTCTGATTGTATGTATAAGTTTATTTTGTTGTTGTTTTACAGTAAGTTTCACACTGTACGAGACCTGGAGACCACTCGAGGTAGAGGGCTATGTTACGGGGCAGTTTATACGGACGCGAGGGAAGATAACGGTTAACTCTAGAACAGGTTAAGATTGTAGTGATCGGGGAAACATCCTCTTGGGAGTCGGTTCTACAGAGCAGTAGTTTGCGAGAAAAAGCTGATCGAGTGGAACTTATTTCTCACCGATGGAATACGGCGGGAATATGCGTGGTTTTCTACTAAGTGGTATGGCGGGTCCCAGCCGTTAGGGTTAGACCTGGCGGAACCAAGTACTGTAGTTCGTCCGAGCACTTTCCATGAAAATAGCGATTGAGCAGTAAGAGGTACGCCTCAATCCCGCCTGTGAGAGAGAGAAATTGGATGCTGGAAAATAATTTGTTATGGCGACGCTTTTGAATTTTCTCAACACTGGCCCAAATATAACAAAATTTTCTTTAGTTTCTACGTTGCTTAAGACAGAAAACTTCTTTGTTTAGCACTTTTTTATTTGTTTCTAACGACATTTTCCGATCTTTTTATACTTTGTTTAGTTTCTGGAAGACATCTATCATTATTCCAATCTGCCTTCTGTCAGATTTTCCATTGTCTGTGACTACATTACCAAGACTTCAGTACCTGCTTGATTTGATGTCCCAAATACATACTTTGCCAAACATGTATTGTATCTTCTTACAGATAATATTTAGTCCTTTCTTCTTGCTCCCCTAGAGCTTATATTTCGAATAGTGTTTTCAATTTTCGTTTTAAGTCTGTATATCAATGCAGTGTCAGCTGCATATTCGATGTTGCTAGGATTATGTTCGCCGAAAATAAATCCCAACAGGTCATCTATTTCAGTTGGAATCTTCTGTGTCATTTACCTTCAGGAAGTTGACGATCATGTCTCTCCTCAATTTCCTGACCCCTGTAGCTTTTAATAAATTTAATCCTTTGCCACCTCTCCGTCTCTCTGCTTCATCATCTATTCACTCAAGCACACTAAGTAGATTATGCGTCGCTTTTCTCTGTCTCTCTTAACTTTAGTCTGTCATGTGAGTATAAAATTTTCCAAGTTCTCTTTCCTCATTATGCACCACATAAATTTCAACTGCCTCTTCCTGATGTTAAGTATAAGTGTCCTTATTGTCTCTAGAACTTCTTAGAACATGGTATTCTCATCATCCTTCTGTAGAACCATATTTCTTTTGCTTCAAGTCTCCTTGTACTGTTCTCACTATAATAGGAGGACTAGTAACAGTTTCTTTCTCTTTGTTTCTAATGAAATTTTTCTGTTTCTTAATGCTTTCTTCAGCTTTTGGAAGCCATCTTTCTTATCCAAATTCGGATTTTCGTGTCACACTTTCCGTTCTCTGTTAATGCCCTTCCCAGATATCTTATTTGTTGCACCTGTTTGATTTAGGTATCTCCAATCTGTAATTTGTATGCTGGGCTGTTTCTTTTGCTAACAACCATGCATTCAGACTTCTTACAGTTGATGTTTAGTCCTTTCTTCTCGCTTTCCTTCACTACTTTCTGTAGGAGTTCTTGTAGTTTCCTTTATGTTAATGTAATTTTAAATGAACTAAATGAGAAAACATATATTTGTTTTACTCCTCTTTCTATTTTTTACTCCTATTTCTATTTTTTTTACTCCTCTTTCTATTTTTACTCCTCTTTCTATTTTTTACTCCTCTTTCTATTTTTTTACTCCTATTTCTATTTTTTTACTCCTATTTCTAATTTTACTCCTCTTTCTATTTTTTACTCCTATTTCTATTTTTTTTACTCCTCTTTCTATTTTTTCCTCCTCTTTCTGTTTTTTTACTCCTCTTTCTGTTTTTTTACTCCTCTTTCTATTTTTTCATTCACACTGAGGATATTTCAAATAAAATTCTGATATATATTTAAAAACAAAACATTCTGATAAATTTGTTGTCCGTTCGTGTATACTATCTTTTTCTCGTACACAAATACACTGTATTTTCATTCTCTTTCTATCTCGATCAAACACAAAATTACGCGCGAGTGTCAATGGATTCTTGTTTGTTGACGCACTGAAACTATTTAAAGTAACATAGACATTTTTCATTGTATTTTACTCAGAAGCCAAAACAAGATTTCAACATTTAATTATAAACAAGAAAGTTCAAACAACCTGCAATTCTTGTTCTGTTTTAGCTAAAGCGCTGTCCAACTCTTCGATAGAGATCGGATTTTCAGCACTACTGCTCTGGGCTTGAACTTTCTCTCTCAGCTGATGAACTTCCTCTTGCACCTGAAAACCAAATAAAAAGAAATAATTACATCATTCCGCATTAAATAAAGTCAGATCAATCAAATAGTAAATTGCTTACAGTTATATAAATAAGAATAGGGATATAAGTAATGATAATGTAATTATCCGACATTTCATGACTAAAGGAATCATTTTCCTGACTCTAAGGGTCGGTATTCGAGCCTATTATATTGCGTGCGTACAGTCACTGGATTTTAGTGATCTATCGGCAGTTCCCCAGAACATCAACGCTGCATCAAAAGACAATTTTCGTAAGGTTTCGTTTTACTCGCTTTATTTTAATGGAGGCATAATAGGCATCATTTCTTGGAGGAAGCAGAAAAGAGAGAGAGAAAAAAGAGAGAGAACATATGTAATCAGGTCAACAAGCTACATCTTCTCCCACTGCGAAAAGCAGTCGTTTCGAAAAGTAATCTGGGAAACGAAGGCTGGAAACAACACCAGAATTCTTGGCTTCTCCACTATAGTAGCCTTAACATCTTTCTTTCTTACGCATCGTCAAAACGCAATAAGATCCTCTGAACTCAAAAGAAAATAACGAAAATACTAATGTAGGAAGATAACGCATTGCGCTTCTTTCAATTAATTACGATAATAGAAGAATAACTAAAACAAAAGAAATGGATGTGATATTATCGTCACCCACATAGAAGGAAAGCGGCGGTTTTGTTTGATCTCAAGTGTTTCTGCTTGATTGATCATCAGATAATTCCTTTTGAAGTTCTGTTTTCTCAGCGGGAGACGGAAGTGTACGTGTTGCGTTTCCGAAGCCACCTTTTTTCGTATTGTCAGCCACCACGAGTAGATGGGCAAGGAGTTAGTAGAGAGAAGAGCTGACATGGCATTATTGACAGTATTACCTACCTACTACACCCGGATGAGCAGGCGAAGCTCCGAATAAAACATGTACATACAATATGGAAAACAGGATTTGCATTCTTATTTCTCGGCGTGGCGTTTCTTTCATCGTGTTACCTTATAAGTATGCAGCCCACTCTTCCCCAGCTTTCGGCGAACACCGCCGAGATCGAGGACGAAAAGGTTGGTGGAGAACTTGGTCGAAGGCCGCATTGAATTTTTACAGGATGTTCGCTGCATTGTAAAGCAATCTAACGGAAAAGAACTCAGTAGGGGCATATCTACTTTACTACAGCTTAATTAAGCCCGCATGCACATTTATAAAAAACAAGTGCACTCCATCAGCACTAAAATATTATCAAGTTTAATAACAAACATACAAAATATATTTTATCGTTTATCCTTGTGTTTCTATTATACTATCTATTTATTATCCTTTCCCCGATCCCCATTTAAGCCCTCGGTGGCCTATATATAGAGAAAACTTTGTCAGATGATTGCATATGGCGTAAAACTACCAATTACCACAAAGTGTTACTGGATATGTTCATATTAATAGTAACGCATTATATTAAGAGTCATAGTTCACTGGGTACCTCATGCTAACGGCTTTACACTAGTTTCAACTAAGTAACTAGTAAATACATAAAACGAACGCCTTCCCGCACATAGATAGATAGATAGATAGATAGATAGATAGATAGATAGATAGATAGATAGATAAAACGACTGAAATAGATGGATCAAGAGACTGTGATAGATAGGTAGATAGATTGTAAACATATAAATCAGCATTGCAAGTTAACTGTCAGTTTCAACACACACACACACACACACACACACACACACACACACATATATATATATATATATATATATATATATATATATATATATGCAGTGAGGAAGTAGGAAGTGTCGAAGAACGAACTTAAAGAGAGATAAATATTTTATGACCACTTTTTATGAAGACCGGTCAAGATAACATATATATGAATGCGTGAGTGTACATTCGCATCTACACAGGGTGTATCAAAATGCTTCTACAAACTTTAGAGGCGGTTTCCTTACACCAAACCAAGTATAAAAGTTCATATAAACATATGTCCGCAAATCCATCGTTTTTGAGTTATTAAGTTTAAAGAAAGTTTATGGTAGGTGGCGCTGTGTTACCATGTAGACTAGGTTACATTTGTTATTGGTGTACATTTGTGGCTAGTCATTGTTCAAGGTTTAACGTGTGTAGAAATGAGTTAACTGAGAAGTTCTCTGTTTAACAATGGCAGGATATTCGTATCGGTAGCAGGCAGATATGATTTTTACATACAGCCGCGTGAATGGTAATGGACGCGAGGCTGCACGGTTCTATCAGATTGCGTTTCAAGACCAAAGGCATCCGAGTCATCCAAACTTTGATGCTGTTTATCGTCGCGTCGCTGAAACAGAATCTGTGACACCACAAACTATGGATCGAGGAAGACTGAGATCCGCTCGTACACCTGACGAAGAACACAGGCTGTCGGTGAGGATCCATGTATCAGCACACTTCAAGTCACTATAGCATGTTGTACATCTCATAGTACCGCATGGTAGGTACTTCAAGTACTGCTCCTGTATCCGTATCATTTGCAATGTGTAAAGGGTCTTTCGCCCTCTGATCACTCACCACGGGAGAACCTTTGCTGATGGTTTATTGCACAAACTGTCGATCTGTTGTTTGTCTATTCAGTCTTGTTTACGGATAAGGAAACATTTGAAAGAGATATAATAATAAATTTACACAACCTACATTTGTAGGCGGATCGGAATCCCCATGGTACATTACCGGCTAGACACTAGCATCAGTTTACGATTAATGTATGGACTGGAATTGTAAGTGACTATCTGGTAGGTCCATATGTTCTTCCATCTGTCTACAGGGACTTTATCTCGAACACATTTTCAGACCTGCTAGAAGATATACCCCTGATAGTATGAATAAGCATGTCGTTCTTGTATGATGGGGCTCCAGCACATTGTTCATGATACACTGGCTAATATCTACCATGAAAGATGGCCTGAACGTCCCCTGACATCAATCCTTTGGATGCTTATCTGTGGGGCCGTGTTGGTGTATTAGGAAAAGTCCACTAGTCAATGATTCGGTGGGTGCATGCGTGTGTAGAAGTAAGCGGACATTTTGAATACTTGTTATGTGTTACTGTGTACAACGATGTCCTTTTGGATATATGTTGTACGGACATTTTACCTTGTTTTGGTGTCAGGAATCCTCCCCCAAAGTTTGTAAAAGTATTTCTGGATTTAAAAAGCGTCTACTGTAAACTTTAAATTTAATAACTCAAAAACGAAGGATTTGCGGATGTATGAACTTCTGGCCTTGGTTTGGTGTGAGGAACCGGCTTCTAGGGTTTGTAAAAGAATTTTAACCAATGACACCCTGTAAGAATCGAATTCACTACACAAACGATGGTCTAAAATATTATGCTTTTAACCCACGTTCGGCAGCATTTGGCTATGTTTTTCAATGAAAAAAAAGTATTGTTCCTCGACAGAAGATGTTCTTTGTACAATCAATCTTTACAAAATGGTCTCTTCGAACCAACAAGCCTTTGTTATACTCGCGAGCTATACCTGCAAGTTCAAACAGCATTGAAGGCCTAATTACTTTTCTTTATTTTCTAATTAATAACAATCACTCAAAACAAATAATGTTTATATTATTGATTTTCTTTTCATTACAGGTATAGAGTAAGACGGAGAGTTTGACTACAAGCTGAATGGATGAAATGTTTTGAAAAGTGCTAGAATAGCTATTAACAGTATAAACTACTGTTTAGAGCAGTCATAAAAAGAATATAAACATTGGGAAAGAAGTTGAAAATATGAAGTGTTTTGACACTAAAAAAGCCTGATCAAATACAAAAGCTAGTTTCGTAACAGACACTTTTTACAATCAATTGTTTATTATAAGGAAGTTTGTTTTCAAATACGACGCTACTTTTCATTAAACAAATGACCAGATTCTCTTTCTGGGTTTTGAGAAAAATACGATATTTTATATTTAAAAAAAGAAAATGAAGACCATAAATTTGCATAAATAATGCAAATCTTTGACGAGATTTTCACCCTACTACATGGTGCGTATTTTTAAAAGGGAAAATATTTCTGTTTAAAATAATAGTTATCTCTTTCCGAGAACAATGTAAAAAAAATATTGTTAAAATCAACGGTGCTAGTTAAAGACAAATGTCAAATACACTATTCTTGTGATCAGATAAATTCTCATACAATTGCAGATACAATTGCAGATACAGAAACCAGTTTCAAAATAAGAAAAAAAAACATAGCAGTTCAACCAGTAAAGCTCAATACAAACTGGCTCAGTTGAATCAATAAAATCAGTTGAATCTTTTACTGAAAAGTATGAGAAAATTCTCAGAATTAAAGCCTGGCCGACTTGAATGAAATGAATCTAATCTGGAAATCTAAGCTACCAGAGAACCTCAAACAGAGATTCTTTCGCAGTACTTTATCCGTTTAGGCGTTGGTTAGATCTAGTGACTAGACCTAAAGAGTTGTGAGTTCAATACCAGGCTAAAGCAGTGGTGAACCAGTGGAGTGATGAGTTAAAGAGAAATAACTGAGGAAGAGGCATGACACGTGGAATCCCAGTGGATGAAATAAAGGGTTCGCATCGAAATTCCAATCGCCTGAAGAAGGCCGGAGCGTACAACGGCCGGAACGTTGTGAATATGGCAGTGGGAATGATGATAACAGCCCGAATAATGTAAATAATGTAAATAATCATAATACATCATCTCAGATTTATAGACAGATATTGATAAATTTGATAACTAAAATAAATGTCAAGTCCGAAAAATGTTAATTTAAATAATAAAACATACTTTCATTTCTTATATCAAAGGCTCTTGTTTGAAAATAGAGGCACCAATTTTTTATATTTTAACACCACGTTCAGTTATATTATCAACAGATTCTTCTTTAATATCCGTGAATTTCCATGCATTACTAGGAAAGAATGTGGAGTGAACGCCGTTACTTTCTCCGGGGTTTGAAATTCAGAGTTTTCTTACTTTAGACTCTATACCAGCCAAAGCTACGGAGGTCAGTCTTCCATGCGATTTAACCCATTGAGAAGGGACGGCTTCGTGCCTTTCACAAGGGTATTTGTGCGAAAATGAACGCAACCGACTCACTCGTTATATGACCTCAGCTCGCCGAATAATTGTCTCTCTAAAAAGCAACATGTGCTTTCTTCTGTGTTTATTTGGCATAAAAAGAATTTAGCGAACGTTTTCGAAGTACTGTTTTATGAGGCATTTAGCAGAATCAGTTAGTATTAGTCGACAGCTATGTTTTTAATAAACACTTAAGATTAGAATTAATGTCATACACAAATCCAGCTGTTGGGTTATTACAGCTGTCAGCGATAGATTTTCGTTCAAATCAACTTAAATGTTTCATCTTATACTTATAACGGCTTGTAGTTGTCGAAACTTGAGCTTTTAGGTATTTACAAAATTTAGCTTAGGCAAAAGTTTGGTGAACATGGGAATGATTTAACTTACGATCAATGATTTACTAGTCTAGATTGTTAACTAAGATTCTACAGCACAGATCGATAAATGTATTTGAAAAGTCGACCAGATTGGCAATGTGTTTTGGACTTGTTCCCAAGATGAACTCAAAGTAAAACGATATTTATATATATATATTTTTATTTTTTGTATATATAATCTATTGCCTGTGCTAACATTTTTGTTCATACGTCGAGACAAAAGATATATCATTTTATACATAAGGATATAAAAAGGAAAATAAACACAACAATTACTTTTTTTAAGTATACTTTAAGAAACAGGAAAATTTCGTTACAAAGAAAAAGAACGTCTCTATAATATTGGCAGTGATTAATGGATTATCTCCTCACAGAGACTGATTCTACAGAAGGATACTGAGAATATTGTGGACTGAAAATATGAGTAACGAGAAAGTTTTAAGGAAAATGAAAACAGAAAGGATGCTTATATTTAGAATCAGAAAGAAACAGCTGAAATTTCTAGGATACATAAAGAGAAAAGAGGGTTTAGAGAATTTGACACTGGCAGGACATACTAAAGGAAAACTGTCAGTAAATTACCTAACGATCTTTTGTAAATGGATAGAAGAACAAGAATTGGAAGGGATGGGGAAAACAAACATTATGAAGCGCGACAAAGATTAAGTAGTTGTGTAGAGCCATGATCGCACACGTCCTGAAGGGACATGACACTTAAAAGAAGTTTATTTCCTAATATTGGTGGGTCGGATGAAATGTCAAGTTGAATTTTTCCTACGGGTTGTTTACCGACCTCTGCTCTACAGCAAAATAACTCTAGGTATTTGTTTGATAAAGTTAACTTTATTATAAAACCATATTTACGGTGTATATCGTGTAGATATCTAAGATCAGATTCATTTTGTAACCCCTGAAGAGTAAATTCATTAAAATGGCTTGTAAGGAAAACATAGTAAATGTTCTTCTACTAAAAAACTCATTAATTTCCCTTCAAGTTGGTAATGTCGATATTTACCAAACTTTGTTTCTTTGGCACCCAGTGGTGTAAAACACACTAAACTAGCAATAGATTACCATGTTTCTGGCAGCTGCTTTTTATATTTTTTTATATTACAATGAGCTCCTCTATTGAGTAAGTATTTTAATACCATTTTATACAACTATTTCTTGAAAGAGTGATCGTTACCATATATATATATATATA